CCCCCCCCCCCCCTCCCCGACCCACAGGGACTGGTCGAGGGCCGCTGGCCGATCTGCGGCACAAGGCGGGCCCGGTCACCCTCGCCAACGGACGCGCCGCCCGACGGCCGGGACAATTTGCGCGTCCGCCCGAATCCCCTGCCCAAGGGGGCGGGCCGAGAAGGGGGGGGGGGCCGAGAAGCGCCAACAATGCTCACCAGGAACACATATATAATACCCCAGGCCGTCCCCTGCCTCTCATCCTCGTCCCGCGCCCCCGCGCCCCCTCCCCCCGGGGGAAAGAAGACCCCCGCCTGCCCCTTTGGAAGCCGGAGCCCCTTGAGGCCCAGGCCCCGATCCCACGGCCGTCGGGCGACAGCGATTTTGGCCCAGCCGTCGGGGGCGCGCGCGCGCGCAGGCACGCCAGTGCATCCCTTCCGGGAGGGTGGGCGGGGGATCTGAAACAGGCAGCCGTGCCCTTTCGAAGCCGGCCTCTCCGCGCGCGCGCGCGCGCGCGCGCACACCGGTGGCCGGGATGTACCCCTGACAAAGAAGATGCCCGGGGGGACGGGGGGGAACATGCCCCCGCCGAACGACATCCAAACACCCGGCCTCCAGCCAACACTCATGCCCCCCCCCCCACACACACACAACGGGGGGGGGTCCCGCCGCGTCGGCGTGGCCGACCGCGTGCATGCATCTCCCCTTCGCCCATCCCGCGTCACCACGCCTTCCCCGGTCCGCCGAAACGACCGACCGAAGGCACGCGGGAAAATGCCGCCCGCATGCCGACGCACAGGCCCGCCCAGCCCCGCCGAAGCGCCCGCCACACAGGCGGGCACACCGCGCGGATGTGCGCACAAACACGCCCCCCCCGGCGACGGAGGCCATTCTGGTGACACGCTGTTGACCGGACAGCGTTCTGGTCGTTTTGAAAACAATCTGGTCGGCCGGGCGTGGCTCCCAACGGACCGGGGCTTTCCCCGCAATCACCGCCAGACGTGCGCCGCCGCCGACGCCGACGCCGCCGGCGGGGAACCGGGGGGGAGGGGGGGGCAGTCTTTCGGGGTGGTGTATTGTGCAAACATGCCGGAGAGCACGACGAGGGGGGGAGGGGGGGGGGGGGGGGGCGGAGAGCAAGGGCTCGTGGGGGATACTCACTCGGAGGTCGCGCGCAGCGACACCTTGCCCTCGGTGAAGACAAGGTTCTCAAGCAGGAAGTCCCGCGCGGAGACGGTGCTGTCCGGGCCGAGGGCCCGCGAGAGGGTCTTCTCCAGATCGCCAAAGGACCGGGCCTTCTTCGAGGCCAGGTGCTTGGACACGGCCTCCAGCGCGGCGGCCGGCAGGCCAGCAGACGACTCCTCGGCCTTGGCCTTCTTGGCCTTCTTGGCCGACTTGTCCTTCTTGGCCGACTTGTCCTTCTTCTCCTTCTTCTCCTTGGGCAGAACCTCCTCCACGGCGGCAGGCGCCTCCTCCACGGCGGCAGGCGCCTCCTC